CCGTGACTCTGGTGCTGGGCGACACTGTCTATCAGTGGGACCCAGGTGGGTGGGCTGAGAAGCTGTCAGGCTGGCCATGTTCCTGAGGGGTCCCAGCTTTCTCTCTGACTCTCCAGGCTCTGCCCTGGGGGTGAGACACCGTTGCCTCCAAAGAGCCTCTGTCATTCCCCATCAGACATGGCGCTGGGGGCCCCGGTGGTGAAGTGTGAGCTGCAGGGTCCTGTCCCATGAATCCAGTGTTCTGGTGGAGACCCTTAAGCTGAGGACAGCATCGTGGGATCAGGCTGCCCATGTGGGAAGAGCAGTGCATGGGCTCCCTGACCTTCCATGTGCCCGGTTTCCTCTTCTGCCCAGTGGGTAATGGTGGTATCTACTCTGGGGGAAAACATGGGTGCTGGCCTGAGCAGCTGCCAACACTACCATCCCTGCTGCTGCTGCTACTTGTCCTGTGTCTTTTAGCACAGCCACTGCGGTACCCACCGTCTGACCCCTCAGGCTAGTTCTGGGTGCTTCCTTGTGCACTGCAAGTTTAGGATTAGCTTGAGACTGACAGCTTCATGAGCTACTCAGCCAGCATGCACTGGCAGGCTGCAGTTCAGGGCTGGTCCTCTGCAAAGGTCTTCCTCGGCTTCCCATCCACCAGCACTCTGGCCCTGTCTGCCCATGCCAATTTCACTGTGCCGGCGCAGCCTGCCCCCCATTCAGAAAGGAGTCCTTTGGAGCCTACACAAGGCTCTCGAGGTGGAGAGCTTGCCTAGCGGTGTAAGGCCTGCATTCCATCCCCAGTACCGGAAGCGAAAGGGATCCCTCCATTGAGTGTTCGCAGCCTTTATGAAGCCACGCTGAGATGGAGGAGCTCTTGTTTTCTGTTGAGTGGCTTCCCGCTTTCCAATCATACTGGACCGTGAACATCAGATCCTTGCAGTAGCTGGGACAAAGGGCCATCCACTCCTGACTGTTGTGATCCTGTGTCCTCCACAACACAAAGCCAAGCTGGTGTGGGTGTCGCCAACTCAGTGTCACTTTGCTGAAGGGCAGGCTGGGCCAGGGCTGGACTATGGCTTTGTGATTCCCTCGGCTCTGTTCCCAGATTTTTCCTCAGCTACCTGCAGTGTTCAGGAGCTCCAGGCTCCTCATGACACTCTTGCTAACCCTTCCACCTGATTCTTCCTCCTCAGTCAGCCAACTCTCGCTCATCCATCCCTGTCGGCACTGTTCTGTGCTCCTTCCCCGGGGATGCCTCCCCCGATTCTTAGTGACCTCCTTACTGTGGGGGTCCTGTGTGTGCCTCGCTCCTGCCTGTTGCTTCCTGGGACACAGCTTGGCACCTGGCAGAGACCCTGCTCTGGAGTGAAGGGCTGGCCCTCCTGAGCTGTTCACTTGCCACTGAGGAACAAGAGAGGCATGGAGGTTGCTCAGGCCTCTAGCAGAAGGCATGGGACCCTACTCTGGGTCCTTTGCCTGTCCTGAGGTTGTAGGTCATCAAGGCAAAAGTCACACAGCTTCAGGAACCAGACACCAGGCTACAGGGTCCCTTGCTTTGTAGTTTTGCAAAATGTCTGGGGTGCTGGGCTGTCGTCCAAGAAGTAGATGTCTGTTTAGGTGGCTGGACGTTGCTTTCTCCAGACGGCCTCACAGTGTCCTAGAGGCTTCGTGCCGTCCAGTGCCCTGATCATTCTTCCTCTTCCTTCCTCAGAGGAGCAAAGCTGTGGCTGGTGACAGCGTAGCTGGTGACATCATGACAAGCGAGGTGATTGAAGATGAGAAACAGTTTTATTCCAAGGCCAAGACCTACTGGAAGCAGATCCCGCCCACGGTGGACGGCATGCTTGGGGGGTATGGCCACATCTCCAACATCGACCTCAACAGCTCCCGGAAGTTTCTGCAGAGGTTTTTAAGGGTAGGCAGGTCTGATGTCCTCTCCAGGAGAGGCTGTGGCTCTGGTGGGGCAGTGTGGGGAGCCACATCCACATACCACACTGCAGGTTCTCTGGTCATCTGTTGGTGGCTGCCACCCAGGCCCTGAAGAGCTGGGTCAGGTGGTGATTGGGTGGGACTCGTGGTGGACTGTGAGTTTTGTCTCTGGGCCTTGAGTCAGGAGCTGGCCATGCACTGGGGACTCAGTAGTGCCCAAACTGGGCAGTCTGGGAACAGCCCCACCTGGGCCTGAGGGTGCTGGGCTGTGTGGGTGGTGACCCCCCATGACCCCTTGTCCTCTCTCTCAGCGTGTTACAGCACAGGGCAAGCCCTGCAGGAAGCCCTCACCCTTTCTCCACACCCCCATGCCCCCATTGGCCATCTTCCCATGATGCTCTGCAGTTGCTCTGCTTGCATTTTGGCATCCTTAGCACTGTCACCCTGGGGGCTCTGGAGTGAAAGGGGATGGCACCTGTTTTTCTAGCTGTCACCTTGAAGTGGAAGCTGCCTTCAGCCTTAGAAAGAGTTCCACCTGCCCTCCCGTGATAGGCCAGAGCAGTAGCCTGATTCTGCTTCCGGGGACTCGGGACAAGGGCCCTGTAGTGTGGTGCCTCGTGGGTCATATGCTGCCCTGTGTTTCAGGAAGGACCGAACAAGACTGGGACTTCCTGTGCCCTGGACTGTGGCGCTGGCATTGGCAGGATCACCAAGCGCCTGCTCCTGCCGCTCTTCAGGGTGGTGGACATGGTGGACGTGACAGAGGACTTCCTGGCCAAAGCCAAGACCTACCTGGGGGAAGAGGGCAAGAGGGTGAGGAACTACTTCTGTTGTGGGCTACAGGACTTCAGCCCAGAGCCCAGCTCCTATGATGTGATCTGGATCCAGTGGGTGATAGGTAAGAGTCCCCCGCCGTTCCCCAGGCTGGCCGCGGGCCCCGTCACGCAGGTGCCCCACCAGCCTGGGAGGGATTTATCCTTTTTACAGTCTTAGGAGCCAGAGAAGTGGCTCAGCAGCTAAGAGCACTGGCAGTTCTGGCAGAGGACCTGGGTTTGGTTCATAGCACCCACATGGTGGCTCATGGCCGTCTTCAACTGTAGTTGTGGGGCATCCTGGCCGTCTTCTGGCCTCAGTAGACATCAGGCACACACAACGCAAATACATACATGCAGGCCCTCATACACCCATATACATGAAAAGTAAAAATAAATAAAAAAAAATTTAGAAGGATATTTTTTCAGCGTTTCTCTTGTGTAGCCCTGGCCATTCTGGAACTCACGAGATTTGCCTGCCTCTACCACCTGAATGCTGGGATTAAAGGTGTGCACCACCACCACACCTGGCTAGAAAGAATTGTTTTGTTTTGTGTGGAGCTGAGGATCGAACCCAGGGCCTTGTGCTTGCTAGGCAAGCGCTCTACCACTGAGCTAAATCCCCAAACCCTTGTTTTGTTTTTGAGACAGGGTTTCTCTGTGTAGCCCTGGCAGTCTTGGAACTCTTTGTAGACCAGGCTGACCTCAAATTCACCTGCCTCTGCCTCCCAAGTGCTGGGATTAAAGGTGTGTGCCACCATCTCCAGCTTAGAAAGAATGTTTTGAAGATTTAAACAGTTTATATACGAGTGCCTGCATGGCTGTGTACCATGTGTGTACAATACCCATGGAGGCCAGAAGACGGCATCAGATTCCTCCAGAGTTGTGAGCTACCATGTAGGTGCTGGGAACAGAATCGTCGTCCTCTAGAAGAGCAGTCAGTGTGCTCTTAACCTGTCATCTCCCCAGCCCCTAAATTCTTACCTTTTATTGTGACTCCTCCCCCCCCCCCTAATCTCCTTATGTAGCTTAGATTGGCCTTGAACTCAAATCCTCCTGCCAAGTGATGGAGTCACAGGGTGCATAGCCAGGCCAGGCCAGGGTTTTTAAGGAGATGGCAGTGGGGTGGGGGGGTGCCCCCCAGGCCTCACAACTCATCTGGACTGCCATGCACAGGGCTGCCGACACTAGCAGGTGCCTCGTCATGAGGAGCCGTGAGCACCCCTGTGGACACTGTGGGCCCGGCCCTTCTCTTTGGGAGCTTTCAGCTCCACCCTCAGACCTAGGAAGAGGGGGTGGTGTGCTGTGCAGCACCCAGGGCTGGAGGGCACCTGGTCAAATCCCTGCTTCTGACTCGGTGTATATGCTTTTGTGTGAATGACTTCAGAACTCTGGCCTCTGACATGAAACAGGGTCTAGGGTAGACACCAGCTTGCTGGGGCCCGTGCTGAGGGTGCAGACACACACACATGTGTACACGTATGTGCTCACACACTTCTCTTCTCCCCAGGCCACCTGACAGATCAGCACCTGGCTGAGTTTCTGCGCCGCTGCAAGCGAGGCCTGCGCCCCAATGGCATCATCGTCATCAAAGACAACATGGCCCAGGAGGGTGTGATCCTGGACGATGTGGATAGCAGCGTGTGCCGTGACCTCGAGGTGGTCCGCCGGATCATCCGTAGTGCAGGCCTCAGCCTCCTGGCCGAGGAGCGCCAGGAGAACCTGCCAGATGAAATCTACCACGTCTACAGCTTTGCCCTGAGATGAGGCCGGGGCCAGGGCTGGGGGCCAGCAGCTGGCGGGCCACTAGACACACCTGCCATCCACCTTTGACTCCAGTGGGGAGGGACAAGCCCTGGGAAGGTGTGCTGTGGACTGGAGCGGTACACCCGTCACTCCAAGGCACCCGGGCAACTCCCCACGGGGCATATGGAAAGCTGGGGTACCACCCATAGGACTGGCTGCCAAGACTTGAAGTGTGCCAACTGCTGACCTAGGACAGCCAGGAGAGTCATACATGGTGCCTGCCGGATGGTACCACTTACAAGAAATGGTCACAGTCCCAAACCCTCTTTGGTGATGGGTCACAGTGCCTGTAGTAAGGGGGTTTCCCCCCTCGCCTCTGCAGCTCCTTGGGAGCTCCTCCCTGAAAGGCATTTTTGGTCAATAAAAGGGTGAAACCTGTTCTCAAATGCCCCAGGTAGTCTGGAGTGATGCTGTGTGGGAGGACGTGGGTCAGATCACTTGAAAGTGCCAAACTGTCACACAAGGACACCGAGTTTAATCTTATAAATATATTTCATCATCTCTGCTCATTCCCAAAGGCCACGCTGACTGGGAAGATCTTGTAAGGGCTCAGCGCTAGAGAGGAGAGCCAGCTTCTGGCCTCAGTGACATGTTCTGGGGAGCCCCTCACAAACCCAGGCTCTTGAGACGGACTGTCCTGTTGCGCTCATGATACCTTTAAGCAGAAGGCACGGTCCCCGAGACATGGATGTGGCATGGGCAGAGCTGCCGCCAACCACAGCGCCAGAGCACTAAAGGCCACAGGATCAGGCAGGCCTCTAACCCGGAAGATCACCACCACTGTGGTGACCTCGGTGCCATCTCTAGCTCCTCAGAGCACTGTGATACTTGAGGTGGCAGAGTAGGACTTAACAGGATGGCCCAGAGTTTTGGCACTGGTCCTGAAAGACCCAGGCATGTGCCCCCCCAGGACCAACCAAGGGGCCTGGCCTCTGCTTCCTCGGTCAGCTCCTGATCCAGAGGGCAGATGTCCCTGTCCGCACCACCCCTCCAACGTGGTTGGGGCTGAGGGAGGAGGTGGGAGCCTCCCTGGGGGCAGCCATGCCTCTGGCCTCCAGGGCACTACCCTAGCGGTTTATCTATCAGTCAAGGGCGCAGCTTGCCCAAGTGAGAGGACCCTCCGAAGGCTGACACAGTACCAGGTCTACCGTCAGGTCGGCCGTCCCAGGACTCATCAGCAGCTGTCTTCTGTGCCACTGTGTGCGCTGAGCAGGTACCACTTGAGTCTGTCAGGCAGGGGCAGGGCTTTGACCTTGGTGTCCACAGGCCACGGCCGCAGGCACAGCCGGATGGACACGCGGCACAGGTGTTTGAGAGGCGGCGGGCAGCTCTCCAGCTGCCTCAGGGAGGCATGCAGGGCCTGGATCTTCCCTGCCAAGCTACCCACTGGGTGGATGTTGAAGTTCTCGGGCAGCTGGAGCCTCTGGGAGCTGGTCACCATGAGGTCCAGCACGGTCTCAGCCTTGTGCAGAAGCTCGACGTGGCTCTCGTCCTCGGCACAGCCCGGGTGGGAACACAGCCTCTCAAAAATGAGGTTGAAGCCAGACCAACAGGACGCACCATGCAGGGAGCAGTTGTAGGCGGCCCCCGACTCCAGCAGGAAGCGCAGCAGCGGGAAGTGCATCTTGAAGCTCTTGAGGCAGATGTGTGTGAGGGACTCGTGGGCTGGGCACTCGCTGGGGTCGGCCCCGTGGGCCAGCAGAAGCTGTGTGACTTGGAAGCAGAAGCGGTTGATCATCGGGGCCTCCTCCTTGTCCCCACAGACAGTCTCCCCCAGCAGGAAAATGATGCATGTGAACACAGTGTCTCCATCTTTGGTGGTGGCCTTGACATCTGCCCCTGGAAGAGCCATGGGAACAAAAGTGAGAGGCGGCCGACAGTCCTTACCGAACAATGGTGGGGGGTGGAGAGCAGATGTGGCAGCTGCTGCGGACAGATGTGGAACCTCACCTCCCTCCAGGAGGAGCCGGATGTTGTCGGTGTTATGGATCTGCACACCGTCGCTGCTGGCCAGAGCGTGCAGGAGCGCTGTCTTCCCTAGGAAGGAGAGGGAGGGTGAGGTCAGCGTGCCCAGAGCTGGGTGGAAGCAGGCATCTAGGGCCGAGGGAAGAGCTTCTGGCTTTTCACCCACACAGAAATTAGAACAAGCAGGCCAGCGAGGTCAGGACCTGTCTGCATCCACACACAGACTCAGGGTACACTCCCTTCTGAGGCAGCATGGTGACAGTGACCATACTCTCTCCAGCTGCTGGACTCAGACAGGCTGGTGCCCTCCTCCTCTAGGCCAGCTGTGGCCATGCCATCCTTGAGGCACTTACCATTCTTGTCAGCCGCATTGACATCCGCACCAAGATCCAAGAGGCGCTGCAGACAGGGCAGGCGTTCAGGCTCCTCGCTGGCCAGATCTAAGGGGCTGCTCTCATGAATCTGAGCCAAAGGGGACGGCAGCCATGTTGGCCTGGGGCCTGAAAGGCTGCTTGATAAATCTACACACACCCGCAAGCTGACTGGACCCGACCCTTACCCGGTCCCTCCGGTTGATGTCAGCCCCATGGCGCACCAGCAGCTCCACCATGTCGGGCTGGTTCCTCAGGACAGCGATATGCAGGGCTGTGTAATAGGTAACGGGGTCTGGAGACAGAGCAGTACAGGTCAGTCTATTCTCGAAGGTTCAGCACCTAGCCTCAGGTCCCCTCCCCAGCACTGCCACCTCAAGTGTGCAGGTGCTAGGCCTGGAGTCCCGGCGTGTTCCGATGGGTGTGCAACCTGTGTGTTGGCCTCAGCTTCCTCTCAGGTCTGTGCCCAAGGAGCACAAAGTGCGGCTGCCTAGCGATGCAGCCTCTGTCTTCTTGAGTTAGGCTCTCACTACACTGCCCTGGCAGGCCTTGACCTTGCCTGGTAGCCCAGGATCACTGGAGGTCCTTCTGCCTCAGCCTCCCTCCATGCCTGACCACAGGCAGGCCGGGTGACCATGTGGACGGGCTTTGGAACACACGAGCCTCCTCTGCTTGCAGGATTCGCAGGTGCCTGCAGCCTCCGAGCATGTTTCCCAAAGACACGAGGGCTGTACTGTGTGGGGGTCAGCACTGGCCCCCCACTGGCTCCTAGGCAGTCTACCTGCTTCTACCTCCTGGGGGGGGCAGCCAGTGACAGGATCAGAGGCTGGCTCTTCGTCTTCCCTGATGCTTAAGGAACCTGTGAGGCCTGCTGTAACTGGTACCTACTATGGTTCATCTTCCCACCTCTAGGGTCTGGGTAAAACCTGTAGGACAGCTCAAAGTCGCAGAAAAGCACCTTCCCTCAGCTCTGGGCACTGCCAGGGTAATTTCACCACACTAGGAGTGGAAGCTGGGAAAGCTGGGCAACTCGATCACATGACAGACGCAACACCACCCTGTGGGAGTAGAGATGCTACAATCCGCCGGAACACCCACGGGAGCAGGGAGGCCACCCCGTAGACAAGAGGAAAAGCAGAGGCCAGGCCTGGCTGCCTAGGCCTGGCCCCTCTGGGATCCCGCTGACCTTCAAAATTGAGGTTGGCCCCACGCTGCAGGAGGACGGCGGCTGCCCGAGTCAGGCCCAGCTCGGCCATCTTCAGCAAGGCGTTGCTCACACCTTCCTGGTAGAATGGAGAGTGGGTCTTCTGCTCCAGCAGCTCCGTGAGGACTAGGATGCGGCTCTCCTCGCCGGCAGCGTAACTGCACATCAGAGGAAAAGCGGACGCGGTGGCGACACCTGGGGACCAGCTGCCCTGCCCTGTGTGCCCTTCCATGGCCACCCACAAAACTGCCCAGGCTCGGCGGCGGCGGCGGCGGCGGGGACGGGGCAGACGCCTTTGGGTCAGGAGTCTGAAGTGGTTTCAAAGCCATCCTTCGGCTTGCTATCAAAGGGGCTCTCTCTCTCTAGCCCCACCTGAAGGACGCCCCAACGTTCTCACCCCTCCTCGTCAACACTACCTACTAAGCTTCTTGGGCCTGGGGGCTGCCCCACCCCTGCACCCAGCTCTGACAACGGCCCCAACACCTTCACCTTCAGAGCCACCCTCTCCCCCACGATATTCACCACTCGCCTTCTCTCTAATCTCACCCACCAGACCTCTTGCAACAGGCTGGCCCCAAGATTCGACCAACGCCCGGACGCAAAAAGCTTATCTGGGGCAGCCCTCGGGAATATGCTAGGCTCCGCCAAGGGAGGGCGGCAGCGCCCTGATGTGCAGCCCTCCAGCCCCGCCTCGGAGTTCTGGAAAAGTCTCACACTGCACCCACAGAGTAGGCCTCAGAGGAAAGATCTGATGGAGTTGAGAAAAGACGCCCCTGGTGAGGGAATCTGTCTGCCATTCCAGCTCATGACTCTCCCAACGCCCCCTCCTCCGTCCCACCCCGCCCCCTGCATCCCACATCACGCTGCCGGTCTGGGTGCTCGCCTGTCGCAATGCTCCGAATACCCGGGGAGCCCTGCACAGGGCACAAGAACCACACCGGCTTCCTTCCCCAGAGGATCTGAGGCCTGCTGTCTGCAGAAAGCGCGCTCGGCCACAGCCAGCTCGTCGCTTGGCATCCATGCACAGGGAGCGGCGCCGAGGCCCAGATCCCCTGTCTTGCAAGACGCTGCGGGCCCGCCTCGGGCTGGAGCTCGCGCTCGGAGCCACGCAGCTCCCGCCGCGACAACTACAGGGGACCGCGGCCACTCACTCGTCCAGGGGCTCCTGCCGCTCCAAGTCCTGGATGCCCAGGGCTCCCAGGATGGCATCCACCAGGGGCTGGTACTCGAAGATGATCCTGCGGAAGCCGTGCAGGAACGGCATGGCGACGGCCGCGCGTCCCGACACCCACACGCCACCTCCTCCCGATCTACCGGTTCAGACCCCGCGCCGGTGACTAGTCCTCCGCCCAGGCCGCGGTTCCGCACCGGAAGTGACCCTACCACTCCTACTTCCTGCCCGCGCGGGCCTATGAGAGCGCGCGTGCGTCCACAGTGCCCCCTGCCACCGGGAGGACCTCATGGCGCGCCTCGCTGCTCCGGCTCCGCCCCGCCCTACGATTCCCCGCGGCGCCGCTAGAGGGCGTCCGAGCTCCGCTGGGGCTCTCGGCCCGGCTAACGGCCGGCTCCCTCCCGAGGTGACGCAGACCCTGTTCCTAGCCAGAGCACAGCTCCCTGCAGCTTGCTCGACTTTGGCCACTCCCTAAGGAAGAGCAGCAACCACCTCAGTCTCCACGCTGCAGGCTGTTGTGGTGCGATGAGGGCCCGGCACCCAACTCTTCCCCACAGACACTGGGGACCATTCTTTATTCGCTGTCCCTTGATCCCCGTCCAAACAGTCTGCCCACTTTCCCCACCTCTCACTGGAGGGAATCAATGAGCCTGCATGTCCTGGTCTGTGAAACAGGCATAATCTCACCTGCCTAAGCGCCTAGACCCTGAGCTGGGAGGCAGGAGCGGAGACTCGGCAGGAAGGGACGGTACAGGGGCCAGGCAGCTTTCCCCTACACGAAGTGGCTGCAGCAAGGCCCTGATGATTCTAGAAGGCCAGTTATGGGAAGGTGTCAGTGTTCCTGGAGCTGCATCATAGCCGTGGCTCTAGCCCTGTGTGGGGGTTTGTGGTCTCTCTGCCTGGCACCTGCCATCTGCCACAGGGCAAGAGTTGACTGGCTGGGAACCAAGGTTCTTGTTTCAAGACAGGAGCTCGTGTAGCCCGGGCTGGCCTTGAACTCGCAGAATGGCTGAGGCTGGTCTTGTACTCATGAGCCTCCTGCCTCCACCTCCCAAGTGTTGGGATGACAGGCTTGGTTCCAGGATGCCCCAGAACACCAAAAACCTTGTGCGGCTTCCCACTTCTTATTCCGGTCACCCCTTCCTTCCTCCGTGGCTCCAGCCCTTGGACTTGGGGCTCCTCGGATCCAGAGTGGCTTCAGTTTTCTCTCATGACATCTTCCAGACCCTTCTTCCAAAAAAGGTAACTTTGAAGGTCCCCAGGAGCGTCAGTGGAACTCCGAGGATGGATTCCAAGCCCTGTAGTGGGTGAGCCCAGATGGTCCTTCTGGTCCTGGCCTCGGTGGGTGTCTTCACCTACAACTTGGTCACTTGCCTGGCTCTCAAAGTCCTGGATCCAATGAAAACATCTTGATGTCGCCAGTGGCTGACCTGGGGTGGATTAACAACAAGGGATGTGACATGGCTCAGGGAGTGGATGGAGGCTTGCCACCAAGCCTCATGACCCGAGCTCGGTCTCTGGGACCCTCGTGGCAGAAGGAGAGGAGAACAAACACCTGCAGGTTGTCTTTGACCTGTGCACACCGTGGCACATGCATACACATGCATACGGAGATGTAAACACATGCATACCAAACACGCAAGAGCTAACGTGCATTTGTGGAACCCTCCCTGGGTCCTAGCTTAGGCTAAACACTCTACACGGTGATTCTGTTCAATCCTATTAGATAAACAACACTAGGTCATGAGCATCCATGGCATCGGCTCAGAGAGGTTCCAGAGATTGCCCAGTGAAGCACAGCTGGGTAGGGACCCATCCCTGGCTGTGGAGCCTCCACACACACTGTCCTCCACGGGCTCGGAGTCCCTTCAGCTTCTCCGCCTCTGGGGCCTACGAGGGTCTAGGCTTGCAGGAGGGAGGACCTGACCTTTGCCCTTTCGCAGCCCTTAGGCATCACACAGTGGAGCCAGGCTGTGCTGCTGGCCAGTCACCCAGGCTCCTGTCTTTAGAAAGCCCTGTGCCCCTTGACCTCTCCTGTCAGCAAGGGCAATCCTGTTTCCTCCATCTGCCTCCCATTAAGGCTGTCACTCATAGCGCCTACCCGTCTGTCTCTTTTCCTCACTACTGCCCCTCCCTCTCTGCCCGACCAGACAAGCCCCATCCTGCACCCGACTCCAGAACTCCTCAGCCCAGTGAGGGACAAACACACGATGCTCAAACCCTGGAAAAGGCTGTGCCTCCTTCTTACTCCCCCAGGGAATTTAGGGATCACACTGAATAATGTTCAGAGTTAACCTTAATATATAAAGAATTTTCAAAATCGCCGGGTGGTGGTGGCGGCG